ACGTGTTGTGGTCTATGTATTCACACATGTATTACGATTTTCGAATAATACAATTATAGCATGAATAATAGACAATTATCATGAACAAGGAAATATAATAATCATTTTATTATTGCCTCTAGGGCATATTTCCAACATGCAGCACCAGTTCTCTTGTTTAGCTGCAACCGGCAAATAAAAAGCTGGAACAAGCATGTAGTTTTGGTGCATCGGCTGGAGTGTTTTCTGCGGCGACGCTGGCGGCCGCCTCATTTGTTGCATCCGACAAGACAAAAAGCTTCTACCGGCGAGCTTTTTTGCTACCACAACGATTGACGGAAGTAGTGACCAGGAGATGGATTTTTCAGCAAACGATCTGTTTTTCAGCACAAAACCAAAAGCCAATGGTAGCAAATGTGGGTGTCGGTTCCAGCAAAAACCAAAAGCGATGGTAGCATTTCGGTTGCAGCAAAAAAATGCATCGCCGCCGTCGGCCAACACCGCAGTGCATGCATGTAGCAAAAAAAGTCACTGGTGGTAGCAAAAACAGGCTATGGTTGTAGCAAAAATGTCGATGTTCCAGCAAGACAAACTCTGGTGGTAGCATTTTTGGGGGTGGTTCCAGCAAAACTCCCCGCCGGTTCTAGCAAACTTGGTCGCCGGTTGCAACTTCCTGTGAGCCCCTGTCGCAGCTCCAGGTTGTGGCTTGCTCCATCGCAGGACGCGGCCACTGCTCTCCGGTGGCGCGCCAGCGTCTTCTGGTTGAAGCTTTTGTCGTCGTTGGTTGTAGCTTTTGGGTCGCCGATTGCAGCATCGAGGAGCAAAAACTTTTGGGTTTTGTTTGGGAGAGGAGATGCTTGCAAAGGCAGATAGGTGGCGCTCGTGAAAGCAGCAGGGGGTCGCGCCGCTGACGCCAGTGAGCTCGTACTGCGGGAGATGGGATGAGATCAAACAGAAGCGGAAGGAAGAAGAAGGAGAGAAAAAGAAAAAAATAGAGAAAGAAAACATTTGGATCCACCAAGCGTGCGTTGTCAGCCTGTCTCGCGCGTGAAAAAAGGAAGCCAGCGGGAGGGAACCGGCGGAGCGCTTCGGCCGGCGCTCCGGCCTGATACGTTTACCAAAACAATTATGGCAATGTGGTAAGATTAATTACAGACCATAGTTACCAAGAAAGTGTACTATGTGGCAATCTTATCGGTTCCTCAACTCAGAACACTCTGTCAATGTGGTAGGATTAATGATATTCTAAAAATAAGGATGACCTTTTTGAGAATGGAGCATTTAGACATGAGAGAGTTTGTGTTGAGTGTTTCTCCTTGCTGTGTGCATGTGCCCTGAAAGCGCCTCGTGCCATGTAAAGTGTGTCGCCACTCTCATAGGTATTGGACATGCACTCCACGGATCTAAGGAGGCCATCTAGCTTGACCTAGGGAAAGGTGGCATCCGAAAATTTTAAAAATTCATCTTAACTATTAGAATATGTAACGAATTGATCACAAATATATTTCTTCTATATTTGAGTAGTATCTTTGGCAATCAAAACGACATGCATGCTTTTGACCACTGTAACAGAGGTCTTCATGGACATGTCACCTTTAATCCATTTTGTTGTTGATGGTTATAACATATGTATATTTGTGTATGGCCAAAATGGGTCAGGGAAACCCTTCACAATGGTTCATAATTTTCCCGTCTTTGTGGTAATTTTATTCTGATTGCAAAATCAAAACATTATTTTGTGATGTTGCAGAGTTGTCCTGAAATACTAAAGAAGAGCTTGGCGTCAGTTATAGGACTTTAAATTTAAATGTTCGATATTCAAGCACAGAGGATGGACACATTTCGTTATGAAATTTCAGATCTTCTTCGTAGTGGTCCAAACAAGAAATATCCTTCATTGTTGAATTAGGTACTGATGAATCAAACTTGCAATAGTCATCATTATCCTATTACACAAATGAATCTCCTTTTTTGTGATATACATAACAGCAATCAACATTAGGAACTCGAAATAGCTCTCAAAAAGGCATTGCAGTTCCAGATGCAAACATAGTTTTGGTCGCATCGACCTTCGGTATGGTTGATTTGATGGACCTTGGTCAAAATAACTGTGCAGTTTGCTCAATGGCTATAAATTACAGTAGTCGCTCCTATAGGTAATGCTTGATTTTTCCAATGCCGACTTTCACTGCTTGATTTTTCCAATGCCGACTTTCACGCCAAAACAGAAATAAATCTGAATCTGGTGTTTTTAGGGGATGGTTGAGGAATGCACTTTTCCATGTTCAAGGGTGAAAATTAACATAGGGCACAGTCCTAAGGGGTTGCATGCATCTTGTGGATTGACAGACTGAAGGAGGCACAACACATAAACAAGTGATTTGTTGAAACTAGCGGATGCCATCGTGTCCCTCGCTTGGAAATATGTACATGTTCCTTACCGGAATTTAAAGCTTACTCGGTTACTCCAGGACTCTCTTGGTATCTCTAAAACTCAACATCCTAATTAATTTGCACCTTCTTGGAGCCGAGTCTATCACTGATTTGGGATGTCCACTTGTTTTGTAAAAAATTATATGAACACATGTGGGCCTCCCAGTTATATTATGCGAGTTATGTGGATGTGGATGGGGGTTGGGTTTGCTCTCTTCTGAGTAGAATAATATTCCTACTTTAAAAAATACGACAATTCACTTATGATTGTCTGAGCAGAATATTTTTTCTACTTTAGAAAATATGGCAATTACTCTTCATTAGAGATGGTTTTGCAACAAATTATATGTGCGAGCGGTTCATATATTTTTAAAATCAACACATACAATTTTTTGGTTAGTATAGAAGGGTAAATGCATTGCTTGGTTGCTTCAAGAGTTAATAACTAACACGGCGCCTACCAGTTGCATGCCCAACAAGGGACATCATATTTTTATTCCATGGTAATATAATGCACCACATTCAACTGTATGTTACAACAAGGCAATGATTTAGGAGATATGCCTCCTCCCCCTTGATGGAGGTGGCGGATCGGCACAAACACGTGGGGAGGGGGTCATGCTGGAGAGCAGGACGGTTGACGGGGGTGTCCTCCTTGACGTTTTGTGCAGAAGAATGGTGTGAAGGAGAGAGGATGCCATGGCAAAGGTGAGGTGGGCGTATCCGGTTTTGAAGCAATAAATGTCCTGCTACGGCGGGAAAGCATGTGAATACAGGAGGATCCCGCAGTAGAAGGGAAGGTTCTTTTTGCATTGGGCCCGCGCGTTGGAGATAACTTGATGGGTAGTTTGGACAACCACAATCCCATCCCCGAATTGGTCTAAATTTGGTGGTGCCCGGACTGTCCAGACGGTTAAGTTATGAGGAGCCCGGACAGGATGGCAATTTTACCCATGGGTACGGATACCCGCGGGTACCGTACCCGCATGGGCCAAGTATGGGCACAAGTTTATACCCATGGGTAGTACCCATACCTTGCCCGTTAAGTTATGGGTAGGGCACGGGTATAGCCTCATACCCATGGATATACCCATACCCTATCCATTTATACTGACATGTGAACTTTATCCATGGAGCTCCAACATATGCGCAAGGGTCAGTAGTGTCAAAGGAGGTGGGCGACCCAACTACTCCCGTAATTAAGCCTCACACCATCACACGAAATACCTTCACCTTCATTAAATGTTTTTTTTGTAAAATATGTTATCAACGAATATAAAATTATGAATAACTTGTGCACTCCTTGATCTACCCATTGGGTACCCAATGGGTATGTGTACCCAACGGGTATGGGTACGGGTAAAGTCTCATACCCGTGGGTACGGGTATGAGTAAAAATTTATACCCATTAACTACATGGTTATGGGTATGGTATTGCTCTACCCGCCTTATACTCTGCCCATTGCCATCCTTAAGCCTGGTGGGCGCCCGTCAAAACATGCTTGGATGTGTGAGGGAGAAGTGAGCTTCTGCATTGCAAATGACCTTAATTATTTGTTTGATCTTGTTTGATGTTCAACACAGGATTGGACGTATGAGGAAGAAACGAGCTTCTATCTTGAAGACGACCTTAATTATTTATTTGATCAATTTATATGTATTATAGCCCATGACAACGCACGGGCGCATTCTACTATTTTTGCAAATAGTTCTCTCTTTCTCTCGAGCATGGTCGCTAAACCTGGCTCTTGAGCCCAACGATACTTCTATTGTACCTTATACTCTCATTATGCAATAAAGTGATCATGTTTACCCCTAAAAAAAGTCGTACGTAAGATCACGCTCCTTGCGATCAGACGGCTATGCACATCGCGAACAGACGGCCACGCACGCGGTTTATGCAATCTTTGGATCAGTCGGCTTAATTTGATCCATTTCCAACTAGTAACAAATAAGAAATATCAAATCAGTTCAATCGTTGCCGTTCCTGAAAGGTCTAGTGTTGATGCCATTTTTTTTGGCCCGCGGAGAAAAGGAATCAATTGATCACCTGCCTGTCTTGCCACTCGAATGCTTCATCCTAAATTCCTAATTAACATGCAATCACTAATCATCTTGTAGCATCAACTTAATTACCGGCTTCCAAGTATGCTACTCGTAATCAAAAAGAAAAGGTATACCACTGATCTCTGGCCAATCAAATCTGCAATTCCTGTAAAAAAAATCCTTACTTACCACTTTTGAAACACACTGCCCGCTATTAATACTGCCCTTAGAAGAAGATCGAGTTAGGAATTAGGAACTTAGAAACAAACAATCAATCAAATTCAATGGTGTGCACCATGTGTCGCGCCCTTTTGCTCCTTGGCCTCTTCCTGATCCTGACGCCGCTGGTGTGTGGGTACACCGACGGCGGGTTCAGCGTGGAGCTCATCCACCGGGACTCCCCCAGGTCGCCGTTCCACGACCCGTCGCTCACTCCGCACGGCCGCGTGCTTGCCGCCGTGCAGCGCTCGTACGCCGGCTCAGGCTCTCCCGACCCTGACGGCGCGGTGTCGGAGGTGATCTCAGGCACGTTCCAGCTCTTCATGTACGTCAACGTCGGCACGCCACGCACCCGGATGCTGGCCCTCGTCGACACCGGCAGCGACCTCGTGTGGCTCAGATGCACCAACGGTTCTGCTTCTCCGGCACCGCCGCCGCCAGCAGCGGCAGCAGCAGCCGGCGGGACGAGCAGCGTGTTCGACCTGTCCTCCTCGTCGACCTACGGCCTCGTGGGCTGCCAGTCCGACTCGTGCCACTCGGTCCACGGCACCTCCTGCGACGCCACCTCCTTGTGTCAGTACAGCTACTCGTACGTGGGCGGCTCAAGCAGTAGCGGCCTCGTCTCCACCGAGACCTTCACCTTCGACGACGCTCCCGGTGGCCCGCAGCTGCAAGTGCCCAGAGTCAACTTCGGCTGCGCCACCACCGCCAACTTCCCCGGTTACGGCATCGTAGGCCTCTCGGACGGGAAATCTTCCCTGATCAACCAGATGAGCGCGGCCACGTCGCTCGGCCGGAGGTTCTCCTACTGCCTCGCGCCCTACTTAAGCGACGCGTCCTCGGCGCTCAACTTCGGGTCCCGCGCCACCGTGACGGAGCCGGGCGCGGTGACCACGCCGATGGAGGCTTCCTACACCGTCGAAATCGTGGCCGTCAGGGTTGGGAACTCGATCATCAAGCTGCCGAATTCGAAGCGGTCCCCCGTCATCGTCGACTCCGGGTCGATGCTGACGTCCCTCGACGGGGAGCTGCTGGACCCCATCGTGGAGGCGCTCGCCCGGAGCATCAAACTCCCGCGCAAGCAGTCGCCCAACCCGGAGCTGTTTTCGGTGTGCTACCAGGCGGACGGCATGAAGGCGCTGGAGAAGGTTTTCCCGGACGTCACCTTGGAGCTGGGCGGGGGCGCCTTGGTCAAGCTCAAGGCGGAGAACGTGTTCATGGACCTTCTGCTACGGACCGTGTGCTTGGCCATCGTGCCGGTGAAGTATGAGGGTTCGGTTCCGACGATCGGCAGCGTCATGCAGCACAACATGCATGTCGGCTACGACCTCGACAAGCGCACCATCACCTTCGCCCCTGCCGACTGCGCCACCTCTTTCCCCTCTCCTCCCGCCTCTGTTGTCTAGCTGGTTAGCTAAAGCTAATTGCCAGGTAGTAATAATCACTAGGTTTAGGTTTTTTTTAAGAGTGAAAAAAGAAACAAACTCTTCAATGAAGGAACTTTTTTTTGGGTGGAAACAATGAAGTAGCTTGTGAACGCTCCAAACCGAATCAGGATAAGAAGGTGAATGATAGATCAAGAAATCAAATCCAAAAAAAAAAGGTAGAAGAACAAGGACAAGAAGCAAACGAACTAACATTTCCATTATTCCAAATTCTGAAAGAAAACTCCATATGTCGAAAAGCGGGTGTACATAGAAACAACGGATTTGCTATTTCACATACTTTCTAACCATATGATTTAGACACCATAGATTTGTGTTCTTTTGTCTTTTTTTTGTCTTTTGGTGTTGCCTCTGTACGCGTCGTTCGCGCATGGTTTCCCCTAGCGTTTAGGCCATTGTTTTATTTTCTTAGAGCCCTCCTGTCTCCGCTCAGTGTTGGTTGCGGACACCAGTAATTTTTTTGCTTTTTATTTCATTTTTATTCTTTTTCAAATTTGTAAACTTTTTTTAATTCATGAAATCTTTTATTTTTCATTTTCTCCATTTTCTAAAAAAATAATTAAAAAATCCATCGCTGTCAATTGACTGTCCACAATAAAAGAGGCTGTCTTTTTTCTTGTCCTAGTTTCATTTGGGATTATTTGCTACTAGCGGACATTCACTTTGGCACATGGGAGCATATGCTTCTGCCACCGGTAAAATATTTCAGAATGTCAAAAAATTCCAGAAAAAACATTGGTGTGTATATCAAGAGAATCTATGTGGGCACACCAAGTTTTGCGGAAGACATTTTTTGTAGCCTATGTAAAAAAGACAAAAAGATTGTCCCGTGAAATGCCTTTTTATCATCGAATTTTGTCTTTTTCACAAGCGAAAGGAAAGTTGTCAGTTTTTCGCAAACGAATTTGTGAGGCATAGAATGTTGAGATGTATGCATGAAACCTTTTGTCACCATTTTGTGACATTTGAAATACATTTAAAACACATTTTTAAAGCGAGAAGCATATACACCCGGAAGCCAAAACGCCACTCACTAGTATTTATTTAAATGGCTAGATAACATGTTGGTAGCTAGTCTGATGCACATTTATGTTTGGGTGGCTGATCAACGCAAGTTGTTTGCTGTTGCCATCACATTCTTTTCTTCTATTTCCTTCTCTCTCTCTCTCTCTCTCTCTCTCTCTCTCTCTCTCTCTCTCTCTTCTCCTTCTTTTGCTTGTGTGTAACTATCTACTAACTCGAAAGAGACGGAAATCAAAACGGAGTAAGGATATTGGGTTTCCACCTTACCTATTTCATGGCAGTCTTTTGCATCCCTAAAAATGTCCTCAAAACCATTGACTCCCTTCATAGGGCCTTCTTTTGGGCGGGAGAGGATTCTTGTTCAGGAGTTCAATGCCTTATTGCATGGAAAAATGCGTGTACACCTAAAATGTATGGTGGTTTAGGGCTAAAAAATCTGCATGTTCAAAACAATTGCCTGCTCATGAAATTCGCAGCTAAGGCTTTATCCTCTTCTCCGACACCTTGGTTGGAATGCTTAGACCTTCAACATCCAAACGCACTAGTCTCCTCCCACCAAACCTCTTTTCTCTGCCGTACCATCTCCCAACAAATCCCCACCCTCCAGAAAATCTCCTTCATATTAACAAACAGTAGTTTACACACATACTTTTGGGACGACACTTGGTTGACCCCAAGACCTCTAGCTACCACCTTCCCCCACCTCTTCTCACACTCCATTATTCCAAATTCTGAAAGAAAACTCCATATGTCGAAAAGCGGGTATACATAGAAAAAACGGATTTGCTATTTCACATACTTTCTAACCATACGATTTAGACACCAAAGATTCATGTTCTTTTGTCCTTTTTTTTGTCTTTTGGCGTTGCCTCTGTACGTGTCGTTCGCGCATGGGTTCCGCTAGCGTTTAGGCCATTGTTTTATTTTCTTAGAGCCCTCCTGTCTTCGCTCAGTGTTGGTTGCGGACACTAGTAATTTTTTTATTTTTATTTCGTTTTTGTTCTTTTTCAAATTTGTAAACTTTTTTAATTCATGAAATCTTTTATTCTTTTATTTTCTCTCTTCCATTTTCTAAAAAATAAAAAAAATCCATCGCTGTCAATTGACTGTCCACAATAAAAAGAGGTTGTCTTTTTTCTTGTCCTAGTTTCATTTGGGATTATCTGCTACTAGCGAACATTCACTTTGGCACATGGGAGCATATGCTTCTGCCACCGGTAAAATACTTCAGAATGTCAAAAAATTCCAGAAAAACATTGGTGTGTATATCAAGAGAATCTATGTGGGCACACCAAGTTTTGCGGAAAACCGGCATTTTTTGTGGCTTGTGTAAAAAAGACAAAAAAAAATTGTCCCGTGAAATGCCCTTTTTAACACTGGATTTTGTCTTTTTCAAAGCGAAAGGAAAGTTGTCAGCTTTTCGCGAACGAATTTGTGAGGCGTAGAATGTTGAGATGTATGCATGAAACTTTTTGTCAGCATTTTGTGACATTTGAAATACATTTAAAACACATTTTTTAAGCCAGGAGCATATACACCCGGGAGCCAAAACGCCACTCACTAGTATTTATTTAGATGGCTAGATAACATGTTGGTAGCTAGTCTGATGCACATTTATGTTTGGGTGGCTGATCAACGCAAGTTGTTTGTTGTTGCCATCACATTCTTTTCTTTTGTTTCCTTTCTCTCTCTCTCTCTCTCTCTCTCTCTCTCTCTCTCTCTCTCTCTCTCTCTCTCTCTCTCTCTTCTCCTTCTTTTGCTTGTGGGTAACTATCTACTAACTCGAAAGAGACAGGAATCAAAACTGGGTAAGGATATTGGGTCTCCACCACAAATTCCCCGGGCCTATCAACATCTACTCATGACTATGTACTTGATGGATATCTCGGCAGAATATGTTGTAGTAATTGACAGCCCCAATTGGCGGACTTGCATTCCAATTATTTTGTTAGTGGCATTAATGATGGATTAAATCGAGACAATAACGTGCTCTAGTGACATCGCCAAACAACAATGAGCACATACTAACATAGTGGCAGGAGGAAAGAGAAATCAGGCCTATATCTAATGATGAAGTGACAAAATGATTCCAAACAATTGATACCTCACAAAACTGTTACCTAGCTAATTGACACTTGTTGTGATAAGGAAATAATTTAGATAAGACATAACAAGAATATATTGGAAACCAGAAATCATTCCACTGCCCCGCAAAAAAAATCGACTATGGTACATTTAAAACAATGTTAGTGGACATGACATCTATATATCAGCATAATAAAATATGAGCTATGATTTGACGCAAATAATCTTAATCTTAGCATTCTAATCTAAGCAATGACTCGAAAAGTTAAGTTCAATATCGGTAAATTTTGCAGTGGAGTTCCAAACTTGTCCGCATCTTAAAGTCAGCACCACATTCCATGTAATATTCGTGCAAAAATCTACCGATATCAAACTTGACCGGGCAAGATCTCGCTGCTTCACTGACGCATGAGAACTTGAGAAGGCAGCAGATCGAAGAAACACGAGTTGCAGGCCATGCAGGGTTCACACTGGCTCCTCCCACTCCAACTATAACCAGTTGGCACTTAACTAGTAGCAGTAGCAACTGCCAAGCAGTCATGCATGGTGGCGCCGATATGGTAACACTGCAACTACTGTATATACTACTCTCTCTCTCTCTCTCTCTCTCTCTCTCTCTCTCTCTCTCTTTATTAGCATGTTGCTGAGGAGGGAGGACAAGAAGCACAACTGGACACAGGAATCTTCCTGCGCATGGCTGGCCTTTGTCCCATTAGAGGGCACGGATCACAAATCGCCTCCTCAGAGGGACAATGGTTGGGAGGCAGGGAGAGCATGGGTGACAGGATGATAAAGTGTGTGTTTTTGGAAAGCAAAGAAAGGAAGCAACACATGGATCATCCATGGGCCTCCTGGATCTGATTAGTTAACTACTCAAAGCTGATGATAATGAGAGCTTTTCATTTCTGCATGCACATGCATGGCGACTAGGTGACTGAGAGACACTACGGGTGTGTTTGGTAGAATGGATGAGGGCAAAAGTTCCCAATTCGACCCACTTTTGCTTGTTTGGTAGGGTGCATGGGCTCATCTCAGCTATGCTCATCTGATGCATAAAAGTGCCCTCAGCCATGCTCATCTCATGCACCCCAGACAGGGTGCATGGAGGCAGCTATGCTGGCCCTAACACTCGTCCTCACCGATCAGACCATGTCCGGATATGTTTATTTTTTCAAAAAGAATCAAAATTTCAAAATTTGTTTAAATTTTTGAAAAACTTTAGAATTTCAGAAAAAATGAATTTCAAAATTGTTTAAATTTTCAAAAAAAATCATAATTTCAAAATTTCTTTGGATTTTCAATAAATATTTGAAATTTCAAATTTTCTAAAAAAATCATAAATGTTCGAAATTTCAAAAGGAAATCAAAATTTGTTTGAATTTTGAAAAAAAAATAGAATTTTAATTTTTTATAAAATATTCAAATTTTGTTTAAATTTTCAAAAAAAAAACTCGTAATTTCAAATATGATCAAATAAAAAAACAGAATTTCAAAATTTATTTTAATTTCCCAAAAAAGTTTAGAATATCAAAATATGTTTAAATTTGTGTTGACATTTTTTCGATTTTGTTCATCCATCAAAAAATATATTCAGAATTCGAAATTGTTCAGCATGTCTAAACACATGCAGGCTGCCAAACAAAAATCTCAGCTCAGCATGTCTCAGCGCATACGTCACTGCCAAACAACAGCAACTGTATGGACTTAGGGCATCTCCAGCCGTTGGCCCCCCAGGAGGGGCAAAAAATCGCCCCCTGGGGGCGCACCGGCGCTAAACAGCGCACTAGGGGCGTGATGCCCCCCAGTCGCGGCCCCCCACGGGTTTTTAAAAAAATCAAATACGGCACAAACAC